AAGCTGCTTACCGTCCCACTGTGCGAGTTGAATCGGTTTTCGCTGGGTGAGGTGACCAACTTCATGAGCATTGACTGCGAGCGAGTGGTCAACTTTTGCAACTGCTTTCATCAGTTCTGGTCGCTGCCACTGCAGATCTTCGCGGCTTTGTATCTGTTGTACAGAGAGGTGACAAAATATCTCATTAAGCCATCACACCGTTGACCTAAATGATTTAGTTGGGAGTGTCGTTCGTTGGAGGAGTGGGAGTTGCCGTGGCGTTCATACCGTTAAATCACGTGATCGCGGTCAAGATCGGCCGCCTTTCAACAAACATGTTGGTCATGAAAGACCGACGAATCAGGGTACGTGAGAAAGCGAATGAACTTCAGGTTTACTAGCATATCGAGCATTTAATTTATAAACTTGAAAATGGATAGTGTTATGGTAGTGATTAGAGACTGATAAGTGCACAGGAAAAGAAAAAGGGTATGGAAAGTTAGCAACCGTTGAAATGTTGGTCTTTCTTACACTTTCACGCTTGGGTCATTTCTGGCGCCCTTCTGTCATGAAGTTAACGACTGCGCTGATCTTCATTCCCATGTCATTGACCAGGAGTGCGCTAATTTTAAGGCCGAATCTGTAGCAATGTGACAAATAATATGTGTGGTCCTCTGTTTCCTCCTAGTAGAGTGGTACTTATTTATCAGTCTTGGAAAGAGGAAAGGCGAATGGTATAATCCATGACCTCTCGGGTCTCATCCGACCACTGACTATTGCTGGGTAATCACTCCCGGCTAATGATGGTGTGATAGGCTCGTGCCTTCAAGTTTCTGGCCTTATGGTGCGCTCCATTTGCTTTTAAATATGTATATAAATACATTATGGAGCCCCGCGGCTTCATGATCTTTGCGATGCCGCATGAAAGAACTTGACGCAGACGGATAACGGTGAATTGAAATTGTTTAATTGCCAGATGTCAGTCTTTTTCAACTGTTTTACGCAACCCTTCATTTTATATTTGGATAACGCTCATAGTGAAAAGGTGGTATTAAGCTTTTGTCCTATCATAAATTTTGAAAGTTTACATATCATTTGATTTTGTTTTGGCGTCGCGTCAGTCGTCAAATCATTGCATGACCCTCACCAGTGAATCATCCAAGTTTGCATTAACTTCGCTTTGTCACGAAATTTTTTCAGAATTTTTAATAATCATTCGTTTTCTTTTTCTGTAATGACAACTCTGTTAAGTCATTAAGTTCAGACAATTTCGACATTGCGTTTTCGTTGAGCACAGTCGTATATTCTGCTTCATGGGTTGTCAAATGCGACACTAAGCCAGTCCGTAAAGCTGAATCGTTACGTTTCTGCGAAAGACCTTTCCAGAATATTCAGCAGCAAGGTAGGCAGAATAAGGTGATAAGTTGATCACATTTGTTTATTTGTTGTATTTAAAAATACTGAAGCATTTTGTATTAGAGAAAACCTAACATATCAGTTCTTTGGATGCGAGCACCTGTGGATGCTTCACTGCGCTTTGACCTGATAGCTGATTATCCGGAGTAATAATTAGCACAGGTTGTAACTTCATAGTTTATCCTTTTTAAATGTCAAAGATCACTTACAGAGCTAAACGGAAATCTTACAAATTGGTTCGTTGTCTGATTCTGTTGAACGGGCATAGGGTTGAGAAATATCAACTATAATTTATGAAGGCTAATACCCTGAATAGTCGCATGCCTTATTTTATTATCGTTCAGTAACGTTTTCCATCGATTTTGTATATTCTGTTTAGCTCATGACCGAAATACTGTTCAGCATCAGAGCGATAAAATTTTGCTGTTGGGAAAAGATCTTCTACAAGAAAGCAAACGTCTTTCGGAAAGAAGAACTGCGGTACTTGAAAAAGCGAAAGTACCTCGATGCCCTCTGTGTTTATTTGTGGGTGGTGTCATCGGTAATTATGTCTGTGCTGACATTTAGCACCTACTACCTGCTAGGAAATCGTTTCACCGCTTCGAAGGTAAGTCAAAATATTCTTTTTAACGCTCATGATCCCTGGAAAGACGCTTCGTTTATGACAGAAGAATCAAGAAACTTTCTGTAAATGAATACTAAGCTTGAAAGACGAAGCATTATTTAGTGACACACAGCAAAAATCAGTTCACAATTGAAAGTTTGTGGATAAAGATTCGATAAATTTTAGCGTTATGCTACCTAACATAATGCGCTTGTTAGTTTTGACTCCAAGTAGCTTTTTTCTTTGATCGTCAGTTGATCTGTCAGCCTAGCAGTTGCCCTGCTTTTCACTGACTCATTAAGTCTGTTAAGGGTTGAGAGGAACAGACATGACGTGTATTGAAGTGGTTAAAGATGATGGTAGCAAGACAGTAACAAAATCGTTCAGGCTCTCTGCCTCTCGGTCAATGTAGACGTCAGAAATTTTTTAGAGTACATTAAAGGGACGCGAGTAGTACTCAGATATTGTCTGAATTTTTCCTTCATTTGTTTTTTTCTGATTTGAAAAAAAACGTGATTTTATATTTGCTGCGCGTTGTCTGAGGCATGATGACTTGCGTTTCCTGGTCAACACTTTAGTAAGTCGAACTGAGTTGACCTGAAATGTAAAAGTAAAGTACAGGCAATTTGTATATTTGTCATTAAGCATTTAACATGTACAGCATATTGTACAAGAATCAGCATTGATGGGTTTTATCCTGTAAGTTTTTTGCCTGCTTGCTTTACCACTGCAGGTCTTAAAAACTTCGATAACAGTGATCAGAACTATTGGACAGCTAAATTACGTCATTGCTTTCTTTAGGCAGGTCTTTAACGATGAATATATTAGTGTATGTGATTTCATCTTTCACGCTTTGACAAATGCAAATATCGCGTTTCTTTGAGCTGCTGTTTATATTTTACCGTGTCATTGATCGACTCCGTCGAACGACGTCCTTTCAAGAGACAGTAAGATCATTGTGATGTAAAGTTATTTGAAATTCAGCAGCGGTAGGGCAAAAACAGGCAGTGATTCTTCGACAGAACGTGAAAGCAGTGTACGTAGTTCAAGCAATGACAGAAAAATGTTAACTGTACTTTGATAGAATTTGGTTCACTAGATAATCTTGTGACATTTGGGCGTATGGATTCAGCTGTCTAAGTAATTTGCTTAGAACTCCAGTGGTGCAGGGTTCGATTCTGCACGAGGACAATCTCTGTCTTATTGACGAATTTTCTTGAACAAAGAATTTACCACATATTGCTTCAGACCAGGGTTGCTCTGTGGAACGTGGTGCTCAGAACCGATTGGTCTCGAGTTCAAGCCCTGGTTGTGGTCACTCGCCCTTCCTCTATCTGAGGTTGATAAATAAGCACAACGCCGTGGGAAAGAAACAGGCAACTACGATTTATGCTTGCCACATGCAGTAGACTCTATCATTATAAAATGAGACACTCCTGACTGGTGGCATCGAAATAAAGATCAGTACCGTCAGTCAACTTCATGTAAAGAAGGGCGCGAAA